GGGGGCGGCGCCCCCCGCCGCTGTCCCGTGACTTCCGGGCACGGCCGCCTCCAGCGCGCGGGCGGAGGGTCGGGGTCAGGGCTCCGCCATCGCGGCGGCGCCGGGCCGGGCCGCCCCGCGCCCTCTGGCCTCCCAGGAAGTCGCTCTGTGAAAACAGGAACGCGGTCCGCCCCCGGAGGGCGGGGACGGGACTCCGCCAGCTTTCCCGCGCCGCCGGTGTCTCGCCGCGGGGCCTGGCAGTGGTTTAGGGGTGTAGGCCTCGGCGCTATGGATCCGTTCCTCACTCTGCTGAACGCTTTCTCCTCGAGCTTGTCGGAGCCTGAGCTTGCGGCCCTGAAGTTTCTCTGCCGGGGGGAAGTAACGAAAAGGAAGCTTGAATCTGTCCAAAGTGGTAGGGATCTCTTCGGCTTCCTCCTCGAGCAGCAGCTAATTGCAAGCGACAAGGTGTCGTTTCTTGAAGAATTGCTTAAGAACATTAAAAGAGAAGATTTGGTCTCACAGCTAAAGCAGTTCGTGGAGGAAGGCGGAGTTACTGCTCCTGATGATCAACCAGATGTGCATGAAAAACGTAGGTGGATTATTTTTTTAATTTCCTCCCCCCCCACTCCCAGGCAACCCCGTATATCTGTGTGCATCCCAAAGCCGTGGGTATGCTTAGAGCAAACACAGAGCACGGCTGCCCTCAGTTGCCTGCTGTAGCAGAGCCCACTGCTAAGGGTGTTTCTGCGACGAACTGCTTCACGGGATTGTGTTGTACCCTGGAAGTGTACCGTGAGGGCAGTATATGCTGCGAACAGCTTTCTGGTGTGGAAATTTCTAATTTCTCCCCCTTTTTTTATTGAATGATCACTTGGAAATTCAGCTATGTATTTGGGATTCGAGTGTTTCCAGCGGCTTTTCAGAACATGGTGTGACTTTCAGTATTTGCAGTGCAGCAAGAATAGTAGCATTTTGCTAAAAATAAAACCCTAAGTTGAAAATTTTCTTGTGTTTCTTAGTAAATCTATCACTAACTTGATATATTTCTGCTATTTCAGGTCTTCAGAAGGCAGCTATTGAAATCATATGTGATAATGTTGGGAGAGACTGGAAAATGCTGATGCGAAAACTTGACGTTTCTGAAGTGAAATTGGAAAGAATAGTGGCAGCCAATCCATTTAACTTGCACGAACAGTTGCTTCAGTCCCTTCGAGAGTGGCAGAAATGGAAGGGAAGAGAGGCGAAGGTGGCTGACTTAATAAAAGCTCTTCGGGCCTGTAATATGAATTTGGTGGCAGACAAAGTTGAAAATAAAGTCCTGCAACTGAACACTGGAACCAGGTGAAATCTATATAGAAACACTTCCGTGTCCCACGGATATGGACGAAAAAACTAAAAGTGCCTTCTACTCTTCTGAACCAAAATCAGTATCACTGGCTCTGTTGCTTATTCTGCCATTAATGTATGTGCATTATTAGGCTGATTCGTGGTCAGATGAAAATTAACATAAAACCAAATTCTGTTCAGGTAATGCTTTGTGGTTTGATGCTTTCTCTAAGAGATTTTAACTTAGAAGACCTAAACTCCATTTGGTAGGAATTCTCACCCTTTGGTTCTACCATCCACCTGAAAACAAGATTTGCTTGACTGCAGGTACTTGTCAGATGTATCTTCTCTGGAAGTACATCCATGGGCCACTTCTGAGGCAACTGTAATTTAAAATGTCTTGAGGGGGTTGGATATTTTTTTTTTTGTGGCTTATTATAACTGTAGTGTGAAAAGGCAGAAGGAGTAGATCTCTCAGTTGCGTACTAGGGGTTTTTTTTGAGTAGCATTAGATAATATCTTCCATAATTTGTCAAATACATTTGCTCTCCAATGCCTTCATCATCCTGAGGGAAACATTCTCTTGAAACTATCGAAGAAATGGTGTGTGTGTCTCAGATGTTTACAGCAGCCTCTTTTTACTGCTGTGAATGTTTTAAGATTCTGTACTGGGAATCCTTTCATAACCTACATCACAGAGTCTGGTCATGTCTGCTGGAAGTTGCAGCTCACCTCCTAAGTAAGCTGCAGTTATCTGTGCTCTTGAGTGACAGAAGTCTGTACTGTAACAAAAACCTAGAAAACAAACTGGTTTCTTTTTAGTGGAGGGGTGTGACAACCTACTGAGAGCAAATACATAGTACTGACTTTCCTCTAGTGACACCCAGTGAAGATCGGTTGTCTTTTGCCAGTTTGTTCTCTTCAAAGGTTGCTCCAGATCCAATAGCTCTTCCAAGTCCTCTGCAGTTTTTTAGTGCATTCCTGTTCCTTTACATTTTTTGAAAGTGGTTCTAAGCAACTTGCAGAGGAAAGAGGTTTTATGAACAAGACCAGATTCCGTTTTCAGCTTTAATGTGGAACATATTTCAAAAAATGGCCTTCACGCCTAACCTAAGACTGGAAAAATTGCACAAGCTTCACGACATGCAAGGCTGTAGAGGCCTCCGGGGACTCTCCCCTGTGCGAGGGGGAAAAGTTCTCTGAAATCATTGTTGCTTGAATGAGTAGGGCTGTTTGTTACTGCAAACATCCTTCTAACTACATAAATAGATACTTGAAGAGGGGAGGCTTCTTTTTTGCTACTGTACCCGTGTGACTTTTAGCTCCTTTCAGGTTCTTACTACATGGTGCCGTTACTGTGAAGGCCGGGTATCAGCATATAATACACCACTACTCTGCATAAATGTTGTGATATTGATAATTTTTGAGTTTTTATTACAGTTGGTGCTCCTAGTTTAGATGATGACACTTGAATATTTGATTGTAGTTAATGGAAACTGCTGTAAAGTGGACTTACCTTTTTATTAAGGTATTTTCTTAAATGATTCTCAGAAGTATTTTTCTAATTGTAGTATACTAAATATCAGTGATTGTATCCAAGCCAAGGAGCAACGGGTAATACAGAAGTTTCTACTTGTCAGCCTTTTGGGCAGGTACAGTTCTCCAAGTACTTGCTCCAATACCTGTCAGTATCTATTTTCAATTCCAGACTTCCAGTAGGAGACACAGTGCCATGCTTCAGCTAAATCACTAGCTCAAATGTTTTGGCGGGTTTTGTTTAGTAGATACGGTCTTCATTCTACAGCATTTAAAGAAAATGATCGCTTCAGACTCTTTTCCTTTGTGCCTCTAAGCAGTCTTTATGAGCAGAGTGGAGTAGAGGTGAAGTCAGCGAGATGAGTTATGTTTGTGGTGAACCAGCTCTGCAACAGTTCCCAAGTTCAGTCTGTCCAGTAACATGTTTTCTTATCTACTTGTAATAAGTCTTCTGGTTCACATAAGATAACGTTTATCTGGAATATGAAGAGTAGTATACTCCCTACTGCATATAACCAGGATATTTTAAGAATCAGTAGGAATAACTTGTTAGTTGTTGCCAAGTGCTCATCAGCTACAAGAAATATTCTGCCTCAGAAGATATCTTTTGTTTCTTTAAGGATTTGTACACAGTGGATGTTTCACTCTGTATGAAACCAATGACCTAGACTGCATCAATCTGTTCAGTACCTCAGGGCCAATTTAAAACTGTTTTTATTAGAGATTTAAAAGTTGATTATGTGAGAACAAAATCAAGTGGAAAAAAAATGGAACAAAGGGAACAAAAATTTTTTATTGGGAGGAGGGGTAAGGGAAAAAGCTGCAATTTGTGAGGAAATGTGTTGTGATCCAGTTAGCAATCTTTTATATTCAAATGAAGTATTTTGGACTCCTATACATATTTTTATAACTTGAATTCAAGTTTTATATTGTATAATTTTGTGCGTATTTCATTAAAAAATATTTCCTTAAAAACAAAAGAAATGGAACTGGTTTCTTATATTATGGGATTGCTGTCTATGATGAGATCTCTAATTGGGAGAAGATAAATGTTAAGGACAGTTTAAAAGCAAGAAGTGGTGTTAAACAGGAGTTATGTTACCAATGTCCTTCTTGGAACATTTTTATATTGTATAATTTTGTGCGTATTTCATTAAAAAATATTTCCTTAAAAACAAAAGAAATGGAACTGGTTTCTTATATTATGGGATTGCTGTCTATGATGAGATCTCTAATTGGGAGAAGATAAATGTTAAGGACAGTTTAAAAGCAAGAAGTGGTGTTAAACAGGAGTTATGTTACCAATGTCCTTCTTGGAACATTAAAAAGGGGGGGGGGCAAAAAGTTTTGTTATTGAATTTCTCAGAAGTGCTAAAACGTCTATAGTATTCCCAGCAGGAAATAACATTTGAATGCAGTCACTCAGGGAAGTGCAAGAGAAAAAAATTCTCTGCGAGCCCTCAAGAACCTAAAATTGAGTTGCAGTGCAGCGTATGCATGGGATATAGGTCTTCTGTAAGGGCCTTACAATTGTTTTCTCTGCTAGTCATGCTGCGGTAATGATGTTGTATTTGTTTTATAATTAATTAAAAAAAGAGCTTATAGCTTATTCTAAACCTGTTCAGGCTTTCAGATGTGTTCAGAAGTTAAATTGATAGAGGCTTCAGTGTTCTGTGAAGTATATACTGGCGCTGAAGTGTTAGTGTGCACTTAAAAGCTTTAAATGTGTTTTAGTTACCCATTTTATCAAATTCTCTATGGTACTCTGCAAGAGTACTTGCCTGTGAAGAATTACTAAAACCTTTTCCCTTTGGTCTTCTGAGAGTCTTGTTTCTTTACAGCCTTGAGAAAACAACACATCAAAACATGCTGAGAGTCAAAAGTGTCATCTCAGGAGACTTCTGAGTTTTGGAGGATTGTTTTTCCATGTCACTTCACAGTCCCTTTCAGTACTTGCTAGCCATTTCCTATGATTTTTTTAAAAGATTTTTATTATATATTGCATGTTAAGTTTTGTGGTTTTTTAAGTTACATTATTTTCATTACCGAGTTAAAAGAAGTTTTCTAGACTTTTAATTAAAATTCCCCTTATACAAATTGGTTGCCATGAATATTTCAAATGCAATGCTTTGTTTTCCTTCATTCACCAAACACAAGCAGCTGTATTTCCTCCAGCCTTTGTTTCAGTCCTAAAATTGAGTTGCTTTATGAAATCTAATTGTTTCATTTAATTGTCTAATGCAAAAAGCTTAGTAACACATGCTGTATCTCCAAGTTCTCTCTGGCACTCAGCTTGTTCTTAATTCAGGGGTTTTGGTTGAGTATTTTTCATTTAAATTTTATTTCTAATTGCTGTCTTTGTTTCTTTCACAATTATCAAAAGGTGGTCTGTGCTATTCTTCCCATTCCCTGCGTGGATCACCTATGTCCTTAAAATGTGGAACACATTTTTTCTAAGTTGTTTTCTGTCTTCAATTTATTACTTCTTTCTTCTGCCAGTGTTTTTATTGCAAGGATGCACTGGTAGAATTATAGAAACTAGTTCACTGTTTCAACTGCGTACCATAAAAATAGGAATTGTGGGGGTGAGATGAGGGGTAGGGGAAGGAGTTTTGACTAAAGGTTCAAGAACTTTTGAAGAATCTATTTCTGTCTTCGTAAAAAATGTTCGTAGCTGAGGATTACTTAATGTTAAGAGGGTGTGTGGCAATGGATTCTGGGAATGGGAGGTTTAGAGGAAAGGAAGCACAGCTTTACTCGGCTGCCGGGAAAGCACAGATTAATGCAGGCTTCTGCGTGGGAATCTGCATGGAATAAACTTACAGGCACTCCGAATGATTAAACAGGCATAAGTTTCATCCACAGAGCTAGTTCTGCTACTGTTTCATTCTTGAGAGCATTGCACACTCATTTCTTAAAACAGACTAAAATAACACAGATTTGTTCCTGTAAAATTTGATGTAATATACATTATTAACATATCTTAAGTTGGTAATACTGATGGAGTTTAAATTCAGTAATTCCTGTGATTTGATCAGTGTTGGAAGCTGAAAGCTTTTTCATCGTTTCCCAAATATGCCGTCTGTACAGTTGTTCTTGTGTGGATAGTAATGTAGCTCTCCTTTCTTTTCAGCTTGGAGTTTAGTTTGTCAAAGAACAGGGTAACGCTGTGTTCCTGGCAGGTCACAGTACTTAAGACAGCTTTCAAAGTAACCAGCTATTGTAGCCAAGTTAAGGTTTTTGTATGTATTCTCTAAGACTCTGAAGAGATTGGTATATAAAAAATAACATCTGTAAAAGAGGTTTTGAGGATTACATCTCCAATACAATGTAGTATCTCTGCTAAGGAAAACAGCTTCATGTCAACTTTATATGTCTAAAGTTTCAAAAAGTTACCAGACTGGCATTTTTATTTACTTCATAGTGTTCAAGCCTTCAGACCAGGTTCTCGTGCTCTGTGAAGCTACACAGAGATAAAATTGG